TGGAAAAATTTTTTAAAATTTTTTTTTTTTTTTTTTTTTTTTTTTTAACACAGACTTCCTCTCCAATTGTCACGGGTGGCAAAGCAGCAGTAAGTGTACACTTCAATTACCAACTCTTGGTTCAGTCATCTGTAAATGAGGGTATATGAATGTTCTCCTCACCTCTTATATTTGTTTTGAGAATTAAAGTTTGATATGTGATCTGTCACCAAGCCTAGAACTAACAATTATTCCGCTGACCTTCCCTGCTCAAGAGCAAGAGTGAGAGTGAGAGCAAAAGTGAGAGAGAGAACAGGAAATCACAGACAGATACACAAAATGTCCAGAATAGCAGTCAGGCGTCAAACAGAGTCCATGCCTTGTGTCTGCATATGTACTTTGGAAACCAGACAAAACCCACGTATAGGCTAAACTTTCGGCTAGTGCTCACAGGTGGGGAATGGGAGGGAGCGCTCAGGTTCTGTAGATGAGCCTTAGCTGTATGGGTGAAAAGTCATCCTACAAAAGCTCTCAACCTGAGTATTTATGACATGGGTTTTCATTCTTTAATAAAATCACACCCGACCAGAGAATCTGACAGTATATGAATTGCAAATTTATAAGGAGTCTGCAGACTGTTTTTAACATTTCCAGAAAAAGTTGCAAATCTGAAAAACTATATAGCTTTCAGGGATTACTATTTCCACTCAGATTAAAGTGGACACTTGAAAATTGGTTAACACACTTAATATAAAGTCATTTTCAAAATCACAGCAAATGTTGTGGGGTACAATGAAAGCATTGACCTTTTGCCAGGCCAAAGGTGAACACGATATTTTAACTGTTGCTCTGAGTTGAGCCTTGACCTTTTCTGTTCTCAAGGAGCATTTGTGTTTCTGTTCCTGACTCTGTTTTACCTCTCTGTGCAGGACTGTGGGCCCTCTGTTGGACTAGCAGCAGGCATCCCGAGCCTGCTAGCCACAGCCCTGCTGGTGGCCTTGCTGTTTACCTTGATACAGCGAAGACGATGCAGCCCTGAGGCCACTGAGGTGATGACCACTTTTTGGTTCAGGGTGTGTGGGTGGAATCAGTATCTTAGTCAACTGGGTTCTAGGCTAAGAGCATCAGTACCAGAACCTGTTACCTGAGGACATGGTGATAGAAGCTTCTGGGCTGTAATTTCCTTTTCGAGTGGATTTGGGTAAACCTGATTTTTAAAAAATATTTTATTTATTATTTTTATTTTATGTGTTTGAGTATATCATATGCATGTATGTAAGATAACATCTTAAGACTCCAGGTGACTACTGGTAATTAAAAGTGAAACCTCAGGCAAAGGGGATTGCTGTGATTTTAAACATTGTTAAAGTAGAACGTAGAGCGTAGAGAACCAAATTTCAACTCACAGTCAGTCTCGTCACATCTGTGCTTCCGCTTGCTTCTTCACGGTCCCAACCCTGGGCTATTTGTGAATAATGATGCTTCTTATTATGATTCTTTTTGAGTAATGATGCTTCTTGAGTCTGTTTTGTTTCATTTTACTTGAGGTAGGCTATTATTATCTGTGTGTTTGTCTTTGTTTCTAAAGCTTGCTGGCCATCCTAATGTGCACTAAGTGTTAAAAGACACTGATTTAATAGTGCTTATGGTCAAATGCTTTGGCCCTTCACTATTTATTTATTTTTTAAACCATCTTAGGAAAGTGAAAGACCATGTGAAATTTCAGAAATCTATGACAATCCGAAGATATCTGAGGTAAGAGCTTTTAATTATAACCCCTACATGTGACTCATAATGTAGGATGCTAAGGCTTTTAAAGTCTTCCACATGCAGAAGTACAATGTGAGAACGCATGGAAAGAAGGTGGTCTTATGAAGTGAAAGCCCTAAGGAGACTGTCAATATGTCTTCATTGATCAGATATGGATTCAAGGGTAATTTAATGCTAGTGAAAAACAGAGACTAAGCTGTAGCTCAGAGGTAGAGTGCTTGCCTACTATACAGAAGTCCCTAGGTTCTATACCCAGCACCACAAATTAAAATAGCAACAACAATAACAAAAAATCAATTTAATATAATTCATTTAACTGACAAAAGAAAAAATGTATAACCATGTTAATAGGAGAAAAGTATTTTTAAAAAGTTAAGTCACATAGCCGGACATGGTGGCGCATGCCTTTAATCCCAGCACTCGGGAGGCAGAGGCAGGCGGATCTCTGTGAGTTCAAGGCCAGCCTGGTCTATATAGTGAGTTCCAGGATAGCTGGGGCTACAGGGAGACCCTGCCTCAAAAAGACCAAAAAAAAAAAAAAAAAAAGTTAAGTCATGGGGCTGGAGAGATGGATCAGCAGTTAAGAGGACCCGGGTTTGATTCCCAGCACCCACATGGCAGCTATGAACTGTCCTTAACGTCAGTTCCAGGGGAATCCAAAGCCCCCTTCTGACCTCTGCGGCATCGCACCACTCGGGTGCACTCATACATGCAAGCAATACACTTGTACATGTAAAATTTTTTTTAAAAGTTAAGTCACTTGTAATACGAACTTTTTATTTTATTTGTGTGTGCTTGTGTATGTGTTTGTGTGTGTGAATGTGTGTGCACCATGCCATGCATGTAGAGGTCAGAGGACAGCTGTGGGTGTTGGTCCTCATTTCCACCTTGTTTGAGACAGTCTCTTTGTTGCTTTTCCACCGTGTGATCCATGAGTTTCCAGGAATTCTCCTGTCTGTACCTCCTATCTCCCCATAGATTTGCTGGGATTATAGATGCTTGCCCTGTCCATCCAAGTTTCATGTTCGTCCCAGGCTGTGGGGATTCGAACTGAGATCCTCATGTGTGTGTGCCATTTCCCCAGCCTGTGGTATGGACTTTTAAAGGTAAACTAGAATAGAAACTTAAACTGATATCTTTTTTGAAAAATCACAGCAAACATTATACTTAAGAAAAAAATATCTTTAAGATCTTTCAGATCAGAAATAAATCGAGAATGTTCACCACTTGTATTCAATACTGTACTTTAGGTCCTAGCTAATTCAGTGCGCTAAGAGAGAGAAAGCTTAAGGCTGAAATGGAAGAAGCAAACCTGTTATAATTTGCAGACAGCATGTGACTGTCTATGTAGAAAAGCCAAATAATCTACAGATAAATTATCTAAATTAGTAAAATATTTGGACAAGTTTATTGTCTACAGATTAAAACAGTGCATAGGGCTGAGGATGTAGCTCTGTAGTAGAGCACTTTCCTAGCATGTGCAAAACCCGAGGTTTGATTTCTAGCACTGAAAAAAAATCAGTATGCAAAAACAGTGAGTGTTTATTAATATCAATAGAAATCAGTTTGAAAAAGGAATTTTACAAAGTACTATTTTACGATGGTAATAAAAGACACAGAATGATAAAGAATTAATCCAATAAAAGTGTCTGATACTTTTATTGGAAATAACAAAACTTTACTGAAAGCTAAGTTATATACTATGGTCTTGGTAGGAAGGTGGAGTAGCAGAAACATGTCAACCACCAAACATTCTTGGTACATTTAGGAACTGTATAATGAATATAATTGTGATCTGAACCCCAAGAGATTTTTTAGTCTACATGGAATAAGATAGGAAGAGACTTTTTATTTTGACAGGATCTCCCTATAGCCCCAGCTGGCCTGGAACTTACTATCTAGACAGGTTGACCTCCATCTCACAAAGATCTGCCTGCCTCTTCCTCCTAAGTGCTGTGCACCACCACATTCTGCTTGAAGAGATTAAGAAATGAACAAGGGAGCTGTAGAGGTTGCTCAGTGGTTAGTAGAGCATACTGCTCAAGTTCAGTTCCCAGCACCTGTGTCAGGGGTTAACAACTGCCTGACACAGCTCCAGCTCCAGGGGAGCCAATGCCTCTGGCCTTGGAGGGCACCTGTATTCATATGCACATACCCACACATAGAGACACATAACTGCACATAATTTAAAATAATAAAAATAAATCATTATTTTAAAACGAACAAATAGAACAAATGGAAAAAAAAAAAAAACCCAAACAGCATAGTAGGCTTAAACCCAACCATATCGATGATCACATTAAATGTAAATGAGCTAAATACTCCTAATTACAAGGCAGAGATAGTCAGTTTGCCTACAGAAACAATGCCCAAATAAAGTCTATAGAGAGCCATACTTTATAAAGAGACTTGAATAGATTAACAGTTAAAAATGGGAAAAGACATTATACTAACAATAATCAGCCAAACAGAGTTATGTGGCATGAAAACACCGTCCAAGGCTCTGGTCTCAGGCAGCTTATTTCCTACTTCTTAAAGATCACTTTCTTTACTCATCTGATGTCCTTTGTCTTGAAAACCATGATCTCAAATATTTTGCCTCATTTTATATTGTTTCAGGCGGGAGGGTCAATCTGGTTGTTTTCACTCCATCTTGATCAGAAGCTGAAGTCTCTGCTGAATTTTTAAAATATGTTTATGTTCTCAAGAATCCTAGGAGGTCACCCACACATGAGATGAACACAAGAGGTACACAAGAAGCTCATGTATATGTGAAGACTGTTTCAGGAAGTGAAGAACCTCTGCCTGACCCTTACCGTCCTCCTGAAGAAATGGAGAGAAGGAGAGGATTGTGGTGGCTTGTGCCTAGACTGAGTCTAGAATGATATGGATTTGCCAGGGCATACACCTGGAGCTGGAACAGGACTGAAAACCCAGGGATACATGCCTGGGGAGGAGGGAAACTAAGCTGCTTCTTTAATCTGTGTAAATTTCATTTATAGATCTGGGACACATCTGTGTTGAGTCTTTTTAGAGGACAGATCCACTAAGGGCCATTAAATCCTCAGATCTTGTGGTTAATGAGCAGTGTAGCATTGGGTGAGTTTGCTGTGTACCTGGATGGAGTCCCTTGGGTCCTGTTTCTGACACTAGAAAGAATTTGCTTTTCTCTGTGACTTTGGAAAATGAGCTTAATTTCTGCATGTCTTGCCTTCTTATCCCACCCCCCCCATCTTACTCCCCCCATCTCTCAAAAAGAAAAGTTGTAAGAACAGGCATCTCTGGGTATGCTGGTAAAGGCCAGCTTGATATGAATTAGGATGCAAAGGAAACTTATAGACTGTGTATGAAAGAAGCAATTATATATTTCTGAATATCTCAGGGTAAAATCATGTGGAATCACACACTCCCTGACACAGGGAAGCACATGGCTGGATTCTGTCATACGGCGGTGCAAAGGGGATGGACTCCTGAGTCAGACCTGCCATTGAGCAACGGTGAAACTTCTGGGGGAAGTCAACTAACTTTGTTAAGCCTGTTTTTGGATTTATAAAATAGGGGACAGTATCACTTGCTTCATGTGGTCATTGGAAAGATAACATAAAAATAAAGGGAAGTGTTTTCCTCTTATTAAAATATTAAATCCCTATTCTTACCTCCCTCTAACCTCTTCCCAGTTTTCTTGTTAAGTCAAGTAGATGATCAGCAGCAGTTGTTGCCCATAGTCACAGAATCAACAAGGAAATATTTACTCTAAACTTTCTCCATCGCCTACAGTTCCAACTGTTGACATTTAAAGACAATGCTAGTTGTCACTAAATGTCCACTGAGTACCACCATAGACACTGTCTGTCCTTGTATGTCAATCAAGTTCCAAATTCCAAGCGTAGAAACCTGTGTTACATGTGACATTCAGGATGCTGAAGTTTGTGATCGTTAATCTTCATTATCAACTCAATAGGATTTAGGAAACAGACCTCAATAGGAAACAGACCTCTGGGTGTTTCCAGACAGGTTTAACTAAGCAAGGAAGATCCACCCTAAAGTGAGTCAAATTCTCCCATGGGCTGGGGTCCTGGACTGAATAAAAAGGAGACAGCAGGCTGAGCAGCAGCGTTTATGTCTCTCTGCTTCCTGACTGCAGATGCAGTGTGACCAGCTGCTTCGTGTTCCTGCCTCCATGCCATGCCTTCCCTCCGTGATGGACTAGACCGTCAAACTGCCCTTAAGTTGCTTTTGTCAGACATTCTGTCATAATAATGATAAAAGTAATTGATATAAAATTCATAGATTCATAGTTTAATGACTCTTCTTTGCAATGAGGTATTTTGCTTTGAAGTATCATAATAAAAAAACTGTATCAGGAATAAAGATCAAGAGGACCAAGAATAAACACAGGACCAAAGGAATGGACTGAGTAGCTCTATACCTGCCGTTCATGGGAAATCTTGAGCCAGCATCAACAAGCATGGGCCAGGCCTCCAATTTCATTTCCTGAGATGGCTTTCAGATGGCCTGGCCACCCCTTTCTCCTAGTGCCCAACCTTTGAACAGGCCAGGCTTCCTAGTGGGAGAGATGAGGTCTCAGGAGATCTATGGGAATATCCACCAACTCTATTAGCCAGATTGATATCCCAGGAAGCCATCTTTTCTCACATGGGGCCTCTGATTGCTCAGAAATGGGCCTATTTTCTTGATTAACTAGGAATGATTCTATAAACCCAATCACCGTCACACACTACACCATCACACACTAGCAACTGCTTTTCAAACCTTTCTGAAATTCAATTTTGTTCTCTCTTCTGAATTCAGCCACTTAGACAAGCAGATTTCATCATTTCAAGCAGATGATGCTAATGCTCTCATGCCTGAGAACTCAGGTGAGGTCATGGCTTTGAAACTCATGGGTACTAGCTCTAGCCCAGTGTTGATTACCTGGAACTTCATTCAATTTTATACTTATAAAACCAGCTCCAGGGAGTTGCTATGAATCTGGATTGAAATATGTACATCGGTAAGCCTTGAGCCTGTAAAGAAAAGGTATGATGTGTGTTTTCAACAATTTATTTTAGCTCTACTTACCATCAACTGTGTAGAATCTATTTCAAATTGTTTTTAACAAAACTCACAAGATTCAATATTTCTGTCAGTGCAAACACTTATTTTTTAATAAAGTAAAAAGTAAAATGGCCATTTTTATAAACTTACAAAGTATCTGTGCTTTTCTTTCCCTACATTAAAGTATAGGACATTAACCCTTTGTGGTAAGAATTTTGGTACTTCCCTGACCAGGCTGATGATGGAGACTGCTCAGTCCTTCACAGAGGGCACCCCAGTGTTGTAAGGGAAAGGCTGAGACCAGAGTCAGGCCATTTAAGTTAAAACTGCACTTACCCTGGGGCTGGGCAAGGATGATGGTGTTGGGTGGCAACGACTGGCACAGAAGTTACAGCCCTTGCTCTGGAGGTTGGAGTAGCAAAAAGTCAGAGGGGCAAGATCAGCCATAAGGAAAACCAGGAGGGGAGGTTGGCAGCAGGTTTCCTGGACCAGTCAATAAGGATCTTGATAGAAGGTCCTGCCTCATCTATGTAACAAAAGGCAGTGAGGGCCAAAGTTTGGGGTCACTTACCAGTTGCCCTTCAGCCAAAGTAGGCATGAAGAACAGCCCAAGTCTTGAATGCCAGGAGTGTTTCCACTCCTGGAAAGAAAGTTGCTGAGGGAGAGAAGAAGGAAGGGAAGGAGCGGGGAGGGGCTGGCCCTGTTGAGAACTCTATCCTGGGTTTTGGCACCATCTGTAAGGAAATAGGAAGTAAGAAGGTGACAAAGGGAAACCAGCCTTCTACAGAGCAAGCATTTTTATTAGAGAATAAACCTGAAAGCCTGGGAGGTGTGAGGGTGGGGAGGATTGGGGTTGGAGAGATGCTGGGCTGGAGAGTCAGACTCTTGCCACTTGCTCACTGTATGACCTTCAGTGAGTCATTTTCTTTGCTGAAAATGCCTCACTTTTCTTATCTATAAAAGGGAGTGGGGGGCTGAAGAGATGGATCAGCTGTTAAGAGCACTGACTGTTCTTGCAGAAGACCTGGGTTTGGTTCCCAGCACCCACGTGGCAGCTACAAACCGTCCTTAACTCCAGTTCCAGGGGAATCCAAAGCCTTCTTCTGACCTCTGCAGCATTGCATGACACAGGCGCACTCACATACATGTAGGTATGCGTGCTCATACACATAAAATAAAAATAATAAATTAATATTTTTAGAAAGGGAGTGGAATCAATATGAGAGCAAAAGGAATCCACATGTAGGTCAAATCCATTGTGAATTGTAATACACAGAAAACCTGATCTCCAGCTGCATTGTCCCCAGCCCCAGCCCCATCTGGTGGAAACCTGGCAGGCACAGGTCTATTATGTGAGTAGGCACACACAGTTTACCCCTCTTGTCTGTTTGAGATAGTTCTGCAGGGACAAAAGACAAGAAGGGAGGTTTTGGGATGGGGAAGAGAATTCACAAAGGAGACTTGGGAGGTGTAGCTGGTAGGGGTCGTCTGGATAAAGAAAGGGTGAAGCAAAGGGAGAGACAGGTGCCTGGGGAACCCAGAAAGAATCACAGTGGCTCCTTGGGTCACTGAGTGATCACCATAGCCAGGTCCTGGGCTATGCAAACCCTGCTCAGCAAACCCAGGAGCCAGGGAAAGTGGGTACCTCCTCACAGTCTGGGATTCGGAGGAATAGCAAACCCACCCTTACAGACTCTAGGTTTTTATATTTTTCTCCATTGGGGAAGAAGAAAGGAGTTGGGGGCTGAGGTTGGGTCATCTCAGGAATGTGTAGGGCAAGCACATTATGAGGAAGGTCAGTCATGCAGGACTCTGGTCCAGGGAATGCCCCAGGATTGGGATTGAGTCACATTGGAAGAGAGGGACTGGTATGTGGGTAAGATCCAGTCTTCCAGGAAAGATGCCAGGGAGTGGTGACCATGCAAGAGGCATTCAGGACCTAAGATTTATCCTTCAGTAGGCAGATTTCCAAAGCTACATGGCCGCTGCCTAGTAAACTACAGCCCTGGGGGTGGGGATTCTGGGAAGGAAAAGTACAGTATCTCATTAAAGAACAAATACGCACCTCTTTAACATGGCTTACTGTGAACCTGCCTTCCTAGGGGTGGTCCCTGGGCCAGGTGATTGACCTAGCCCAACTAGAATGTCCACCTAGGCCAGACATTCTTTTCTTTTGCTACTATAATACTTTAATAAATGGTAGCATTATATTTATACTAAAGAATTGTTCTGTAATAAATTTCTTTATGATTGTCAGTAAATGCTTGATCTGTGTACCTATTTATATACCTATACAATATCGACACAGTTTGTACATCTGTTTATATACCTGGTCACTGTTAGTCAGTGCAAAAGCACAGCTCTCACCTCAAAGGGGATGAAAGATAGTTTATTCTGGAGCCAAATATGTGTGACCATGGCCCGGGAACACAGACTCAAGTTATCTCAAATCAACAGTCCAGTATGGTAACAGTTTTATGAAGTTTCTAGAGTAACATAAAGAAAGAAAGCCACAAATCAAGACACTTTTCAAATATGTTGGTGGAGACATCAGAGAAGTAAGTTATAGCAAAGCGGGAAGAATTCTGCTCTCGGCCTTCGATGTTATCTGACAGGCTTCTTGGTCCTTGGATTGGTAGAAGCTGGTGATCTGCTAAGTTAATACATTCCAAAAGGTTTTCTGTGGCTAATCTACTAGCCACAGGATGTTAAGTTAGACACAGAGATGGGCAAGGAGTGACTGTTTAAGGCATTAGAGATGCCCCAAGATAAATGGCAGTTAGGCTCGGCCTGCAACATTTTAAATTCTCCACAATCATTGACGTTCTAGGCATTCAATCAGCCTTGCAGAAAGTTCAGCTTGAAGATGCAGGTTTTCTCTGGGAACTTTCATTCACAATACTCAGTTCATGTAAAAATTTTTCAGGCGAACAGGGGTTATGTGGGGAAAGTTCAAGCAGCCCTGCTTTAGAGCATCAGAGCTGAGGAGTTGGTTAGCAAAGGCAGGAAGGCCATCTACATATCTCCAAATGCCAACCACCCCATTCTTGCCACATCCCCATGATGCTGGTCATAGTTCCTAAATATTTGCCCTGACATTGATTACCTTTATTACTTAAGTGAATGTATCTTGAAAAGAGGAAGTTTCGGGGCTGGAGAGATGGCTCAGTTGGTAAAGTGCCTGCCATAGAAGCATGAGAATCGAAGTTTGGATCCCCAGTACCCATGTAGAAGTCTGGTGTGATGACAGACACTCCTCTGTAACCCTAGTGATGGAAGGTGGGACAGAGACAGGCAGATCCCTGGAGCTAATTGACCAGCCAGTCTCGCTGATGAGTGAGCTCTGGGATCAGTGAGAGACCAAATCTTTAAAAGTAAAATGGGGAGTGGTCAAGGAAGACACCTCCATGTGGATGGCAATCTTCAGCCTCCACACGCACATGTTCACATATGCCAACACACACAAATGCATATGTGCACACATGTACAAACACGTGCACACATACGTACACACAATACAGGAAATTTGGGGTTCATCTTTGAGAACAACAGAGCTGCTCTTGGCTCTTGGTGAGCTTAGCCTGGTGGGGCTAAGGTCTTAGAAAACTTGACTGCCTCCAAAGCACCCCCCCAAGTCAGTAGCTTTCTGGTTCTTGTCTTGTGAATTCAAAGAATGAAATTCATGGGCCACAGAGAGTGAGATTTAGAGAGAAGTCTACTATAGATTTGTAGGTAGTAGCTTAAGGGGTAGGGGGTGGAACTCCTGTATAGTAGGAGTGGGTCCCAGGAAATAGGGACTATCAACCTCTGTTCTGGGGGCTTTTAGAAGGACTTATGGTCAAAACTGGGGTGAGGCATGGGGAAGAAGATGAGCTGGAAAGTCCACTTGGTCCAACCATGAGGTGTCGGTGTGCCTGCCCTGTTTCAGTCACACGTTCTCATGTAGTTTCCAGGCAAGGAATGAGCAACCAGAACTCTCTTGGCTTCTTGGCCTGTAGCTAGAACATTCTCAGAACTGCCACTTCAGGGGTTCCTGGCCTATCAGACTGGTTTCTGTTTCTATCACCACCACAAATAGAAAACCACATTTTTTACAACATACCCCCAAATATCTTTTTTTTTTTTTTTTTTTTGACTTTTTGAGACAGGGTCTCCTTGTAGCCCCAGCTGACCTGGCACTCACTATGGAGACCAGGCTGGCCTCGATCTCACAGAGATCTTCCTGCCTCTGTCTCCTGGGTGCTAGGGCTAAAGGCATGTGCCACCATGCCCAGCTCCAAATATCTTTTAAAATCATTTATTTATTTTATGTGTTTGAATGTAAGTGTACCCATGTTGTGCAATGCCAGAAGGCATAAATTCCCTGAAACTGGAGTTACAGGCAGCTGTTAGCCACATGTAGATTCTGGGGAGTGAACCCAGGTCCTCTGAAAGAGCGGCCAGTGATCTTAACCATTGAACCATCTCTCAGGTCACAAACAAATAATTATAAGAAGATTCACACTTACAATAAAGAGATTTTTGACAATTTTACTATCTGTTGTACATCTATGCCTAGGAAAAAGTGAGTGTTCTTATTATTTGATTGTATCAATATAAAGTATTCATTTCCATGCTATTTAAATAATGTTGAATATTGTACTCAAGACTCAGTGAGGCAGCAGAAAGTACTAGAAAACTGAAACAGGGCAGGCACACCGACACCTCATGGTTGGACCAAGTGGACTTTCCAGCTCATCTTCTTCCCCATGCCTTACCCCAGTTTTGACCATAAGTCCTTCTAAAAGCCCCCAGAACAGAGGTTGATAGTCCCTATTTCCTGGGACCCACTCCTGGGACCCACACCAGGCTAAGCTCAGATGATTAAAGGGAAGCAGTGGGCTGGTGACTGGTGTCTGCTGGGGAAGTACCTGAGTGCACATTCTTGGCTCCAGAGGTCAGCGCTCAGCTCCAACAGTCCATGCCCAGAAGGGGGCCAATTGCATCCAAAAGAAGCCAGTAATCCTTTTTTTTTTTAAAGTGTACTGTCTCTAGTTTTAAATATTGACGACTAATTTTTAAAATTCCTAAAATACTTGAAGGCCACGTTTGGGCTGCCAGGTTGCCACTTTTTGAGCTCTGTCATCATAACACTGTACATCTTCCTTTCAAGTGTTCAGTGGGCTGGAGAAGCATGAGCTTTTCTTTCTAAAAGTTCATTCCACGCACAGAAGCTCTGGTTCAGCTGCCTTTTTGGCTGTTCCTGGAGAGCTCGCACTTGCTCCAGTTTCTGCACTTGAGCTGTTATGGGGAGTCCAAAACCCTCCAGTTCTTTAAAACAAGCTTGTGATATGGGACCTTTGAGAGTGTCTTTGAGTTTAATGGAGCCTTTCTCGGTTCGTGATGAGCTTAGCTTGTGGGGTTAGGCTCTCAGAAAACTGCATGGCCACTAAGCTCCACAGATCTGGTGGTTTTCGGGTTCTGGTCTGATGAATTCAAAGAATGAAATTCTTGAACCACAAAGGGTAAGTTTTAGAGAAGTTTATTATAGATTCATGGCTGGGAGTGGGAGGGGGACTGTAGAGGTCTTATAGAGCAGGAGGGGTCCCACTAAATGGAAAACATAGAGGTGCTGGTCTTATGGCAGAAACTGGGGTGAGGCATGGGGAGGGGGATCAGCTGGTCAGTTCAGTTGGCCCAACCACAAGGTGTCTAGGTGCCTCCTCTCAGCTTCTGTAAGTCTTCGCTATGGCTTCCGGGCAAGGATAAGCTAGCAGGGAACCAGGAACCAGAACTCTCCTGTGACATTCCTGGCCTCCACCAAGAACATTTTCAGAACTGCTGCTTTGAGGTCCCTGCCCTAGCAGTGTCCATCTCTTTTTTATCACTTGGATCTCATTCTCTATGTTGTCCCCAGCCTCCCCAGCCCACCAAGATCCCCCAAGCCCACTCTGGCACTTCTAAGCCTTGTGTTGTTGATTCCTATGGGGCATTTAATCTCCCCCAGGTGACAGCTGGCCGATTGTGTGCTGACCAGCACTCACCTCTGCAATTGTTCATCTTTCCTTGTTTGCAGGGGGAGGACCACTCCTAGAAAGACTGATACATTGAAGAGACCCAGAGTTGGGATATTAGCCAGGCCCTGCTCTGATCCACTGACTGGTCACACTGATTCCTCAGGGGGCTTTGAGGAACTGATTTCTCTGGTGGCAGAGGGGTCTTGAGGTTCCTGTGGTAGATTTGTCATCTCTAATTCAGAGCAGCCCAGGCAGGGAGGGGCCTTGACTAAACAATCTGGATATTACAGAGGGCTTGGGGGCTAAAAATGGACTCAGAAGGAAGTTTGAGGATGTTTTTATTAGAGTTTAACAGAAAAACAACAGGGTAGGCACGCTGTAAATCTCTGCCAGTTGCACAATGGAGAGAGATGCAGAAGAGGAAGAGAGAAAACCATGTCTTTTTAGTTAGGCATGGAGAGCAGCTAAGCAGATAAGCAGTCCCATGGTAAGGGGGTGGGAGGAGAAGGGGGCTTCAGAAAGAGAGCATTAGGGAGACCATGTCCACACCCTGGCCCACATCCAAAACAAAGAAAATGAAGAAGGAAAACAGAAAAGTTAGGGTTTTCTGAGTAATTCATAAAAGCAGGCAGGCTTAGCAAAGCTACAGGATAGTGGCTCTGCAAGTGACTACACAGAAGACAGTATTTCTGGGAAGGAAAAGCATCTATCTCATTAAGGTGATAATTATTCCTTCTATCTCTTTAGCATGACTTTAGGAGAAACTGCCTTCCTGAGGGGAGTGGTCTCTTGGCCAGGTGATTGACAGCCCCAGCTGGATTAACTCTTTTATTTGTTTATTTTTATTTTATGTGTATGAGTGTTTTGCCTGAATGTATGTAAGTGCACCACATGTATGCAATGCCTGTAGAGGACAGAAAAGGGCATTGGATCCTCTGGAAATGGACTTATAGACAGTTATTAGCTGCTATGTGGGGCCTGGGAGCTGAACCTGGGTCCTCTGCAAGAGCAGCCAGTGCTCTTAACTGCAGAACCATTTTTCTAGCTCTCATCATCTGAATTAACTATTCTAGTCTTTGGAGCTGATCAGAATGTCATGTCTCCACCTAATGCTAGAGGTATTCTATTCTTTTGACCAGGCCTTAAGGAGTGGCAAATCTGATGTTTACCTTTCTAGTGTTACCAGGGAAATGGGAGGCAGGCTCCCAAGCTTCAGTGACCTCCAAGGCTACCTGACAGAAAAGAGGCATCTGGGTAATGCTGGTTAACCCTCTATGGGAAAACGTACACTAAGCTGTGATGCCAAATTCCCACCATCCCCTACTCCACGGAAGTCTGTGACTAAAGATCTCTTTTCCACATGGCACCACTGATTATTTTCCTTCCTGGGAATGGCTCCCTTCTATCCCTCCTCCCCTGGACATGAACTGATGTCATCAGAGTCTTTAGCAGGCTTGAGGACACTCCTATAATACCTTTTGGGTCACTTTAGGGGATAAGGCTTGTCTAGTCTGATCCCTCCTGGAAGAAGCCAGAGATGAGACTGGGTCTGGTGAGGGTGAGTCCAGAGGCTGCCTCCCTCGCCTTGGGTGTCCTGAGATGAAGAAACCAACACTGTGTGAGAGTTCCAGATGGAAGAGAAAGAGCAGTTCCTGTTGTGTTTTAGGAAATTCCAACTGCTTGAGAGCAGTGCTGGGCTGGTTAGGGTTCCATGGTGGCCAGAAAGGTTCGGGTTCTGAACAGAACTGAGCAAACTAGGAGTTGATATCTAGCCTCTCAACACTCCCAGAGTCCCTTTTGGAACCTCTGCAAGTGCTAATTACACCTGTTTGTCCCCTCAGGATTAATCATAAACTCTTATTCTTTGTGTTTAAAAATCTAATAATTGAATGAAGAAAAGAAGACTTTACTCTCTTATTTTTATTGGAGATACACAGCGTTTCAAGTATGCAGGGTTTGGTGGGCTTTGATGTGGTTCTCTGCATGAACCATCTGAAATGAAACCAGCTCTACTGTAGAGGGCACCAGGAATTCGAAGTAGCAGGGGAACAGATGCCTGTAAAACAGGACCCATCATCCAGCCACGCCTTATCAAGCCTCTGAAGCTGGCTTAGTATATCCAGCACATACAGTTTACTACTAGCCACCTGCATTTCTCTAAGGCCTAAAGAACCCCAGGACTTCCTAAGGCATCTTTTACTAATGTGAAACAAAATTATTTAATCTGAAAAGAATAAGAAAAAATGTCAACAACTTATTCTCAGGCATTTCTTTCCTGTGGTTCAATGTAATCCAATCCCAGATGAGCAAAAATTTCTTCTTCACTTTCTGCTTCGAGAAACATCCTCTGAAATTATAAAAAGAGATATACACATTCAGTGCTTTCCTTAAGCATCTCAGTTCAGACTTAGGGAAACTATTGTCAAACTGTCTCCTTAGAAAGAAAGATCACCAGAACATATAAAAATCATAAGAAGCCAAAGTGTGGTGCCTCATGTCTGAAATCCCAGCACTTAGAATGCAGAGGCAGGAGGATTGCCATAAGTTCAAGGCTAGCCTGGGCCACAGAATGAGACCTTCTCACAAACAAACAAGCAAGCAAGCAAACAAACATCACAGTAACTGCCTACTGTAGTTTTTATGTTTTCCCATCCAGGAACATGGGCACATGTGAATTAAGGTAAAATAACAGCCTTCCCTAGTTAGCAAGTGGTGCTTGGATATTTTTCTTGGGGAGTCTGATTCCTTTTATTTTTATTTGGTTGTATGTGTGAGTGCATGTTTGCATTGTGTGCATGTGTGTGAGAGCCAGTGCATGTGCACATGTGTATGTATATGTGGAGGCCACAGGTCAACATTGGGTTTCTTCCTCAATCCGTCTCCATTTTGTTTTTTTTGAGACATGGTCTCTCAGCGAACCTGGAGTTTCCTGATTGGCTAGGCTGGCTGGTCATTAAGCTCCAGGGATCTGCTTATCTTTGTCCTGCTCAATGCTAGCATTACAGATGAGTGCCACCATACCTGGCTTTTATGTGGCTGCTTCTATAGCAAGTACATTATGCACTGAGCCACCTCCTCAGTCCCTGGAGTCTCTAATTCTTAGCTACACCTATTCAAAAGAACCACTTGAGGAGGTTAAAAAAATGGGCTCTTGAGGTACACCCCAGTCCAAGAAAACTGAAAGCTCCAAAGAGGTCTTGTTACCAATCTATTTAAAGTTCTAGGTCATCCTAATGTGCAGCAGAGATGAACTGCTAGTAATGACATGGACTGTATGCACTGGGGGCTCTGGAGCCTTGCACACCTGCTGCATCATCACCCCCAGGTTCCACCTCACCATCTCTTTAAGACCAAGCACCTCTTCCCCTCTGTACCTTATTTATTGTTTGTTTGTCTATTTGTTTTGAGACAGAGTCTCACTGTATAGCTCTGGTGGGCCTAGAACTTGCTATGTAGACCACGCTGGCTATGAACTCAAAGACATCTACCTGTTTCTGCCTCCCTTGTGCTAGGACCATATCCCTGGGCACAGCTCAGACACTCACTGGTTTATTCATCATGTATTTGTTTAAAGGTCTTCCTAAATTGCACCCTGTGAAATCTGCCTCCACTACCTGCCCAGTTTCTGAAGCTATCCTGTCAGCATCACTGTCTCCTCCTTTTTGAGAAGTACCTTGAGTTTCTAGGAGGACCCCCACCCCACAGTCTATGAAGAAGCAAGGCCATTCTCATCTCCAGGGGGAAAGCACACAACCTAAGCCTGGTCTATCAGAATTATGCCAATGTTTTATGGGATAGGTACACAATCCAGGCTGGACCAATGAGCACCATTGGGCCCCTTGCTGGAACTGGTAGGAAAAAGGATCTTTCCTGTTAGAATAACTAGAAGATTGGGACTCACTGATGATAAAATCAGCTGGGGGTAGGGGAGAGAGCCCAACAGGTAAAGTCACTTGCTGCCAAGCCTTGAGTAGGATCCCTGGAATCCACAGGGTAGAAGGACAGAGTCACCTCCTCTGACCTCCACATATGCACCCTGGCATGTATCCACTGCTATCTCCTCACACACAAAATAAACAGACAAACAAATAAACAAATGTAATTTTAAAAAATCAGCTCGGGGAAGGGCTGGGGAGTTAGCCTTGGGGGTGAGGGTCAGTGGCCCATCTCAGGAAGGAAACTCCACCTTGGTCTTGTCATACAGAGCATGGTTGTCCAGCATCATCTTCCGTTCATGGGTGGCATAGCGCCGCAGGTCTCTCTCAAACTGCTAAAAAGGGAATTAAAATAAATTACTGTCCAGTCTAGACTGTTTTCGGTATGTAGTGTTTAGAGCCACCTGAGGCCCTTGAGTGTTTGAAACCGCTGTTTCTAGTACACATTCTTGTAGTGACTTTCTTCCCCAGAGCAAAACTCCTGGATGGCTGAGCTCTGGGCTTCCTATGCCAGGCAGAAAGCTCAGTGTGAAAAGGAGGCTGATTAGGCTTGGTCCCTAGCCTGGTTCCATCATCAGATAGTGTCTGGCACTCAGGAGATGCAGCGTTTATCTGTTGAATTGGATAATTGGACAGTGTGAGCATTGGGCAGGGAATAATGCCTGGTCCAGGATAAATGCTTGCTAAATTATTTTGAAATTTGAATATCATTATTGTACAAGAGGATGAGGGGGGCATGTCTTGGCCCAGATTTTGTGCCTGTCTATGCGCCCCTTGGCACGTCACCCAGCCTCTATGAAACTTGCTTGGTCCCAGGACTGAGGATGTTAAGGCCCTGATGACTGTCCATCCATACTAAGGTTCTGTGAATAGTCACCTGCCTCAGAGTGGCATCTCTCATCTCAGGAGTGCACTCTGAGGTTTCAGGGAGAAAAACTCGAAACCGAGGACATGGGACAAGAAAACAGTGGGAACAAGGTGGCGAATAACACTGTCCTGCAACTGGTTTCCTGAGAGAAGCCCAGATTTAGAAAGTCGACCCTTTCCCCTGGATTAAGAAGAAAGATTGAAGCACTTGCGCTCTCTAGTGGCAAGAAATGATTTCTCCATCGCTGCAAAGTTTCTGGGACTCAGACTTTTCTCCGCCAAGCTCTTTATAGCAATGGGAGCCCTACTTATAAAAGAATTGTAGGGAGCAAGTTCTGCTAGCTCAGGTCTGGGAAATTATGGGGTCCTATTTAGCCCACTACCATCCTCCTTCCTCTCCCCTCCTACCCCCAGCTCTTGGCTGGGCAAAGGTTGCTCACACTAGTTGCAGGCAGCTGGAAAGGCTGGAGGTAGAACAGTGTGTGACTAAATAGCTCTTAACCCTGTGTGGTTTAGGGGAAAGAGATATTCCTGGACTCCTCCGCCAAGGCATTTGAAGAACACAGTTCAGTCAGCCAATATTACTGAGTGCCAGGTACATTCTTGGTGCTCCGAACTTATTGGTAAACAGAAGATGACTTTCCTTAGAGAGCTTAGGGTCTAGCAGAGTACAGAGACAGTTTCTAATAACAGAAGAAATAAACAGTTATGGGCTGTATTAAAAAGCCAGAGTTGTGGTCTTATTGAACAGCGTCACTATAGTGGGCTTCATTGAGCAAGGCTTTGGAGGAGGTGATAAAAGTCAAAATGGCTGCAGAACGTTCAAAAGAGCTCTATCCTTTCTGGAGCCTTAGGTGCTGGCAGGGGCCGACTGCTCCGCAGGGATCACACTGGGAGCTGCATCCACCAGGGGAACATTTTTTTTTTTTTTAAGAATCTTTAAGAAATACTGGATTGATTAGTTTACTTCATTGTGCAGCCAGTCTGATTCACTCAGGGCCCACCTCTGCCCTTTCCTTTCCCTGCTTCTCTCCCCTGGGAGGGGAGGGGGGAACCAGGCCTTACCCCCTCACTCTTCCTTGGTAGCAAAGCCCCCAGGCAGAAGACCAGGTCAGCCTGAGCCTGAGCTTCCCAGTTTATGACTCCATCAAACTCTGCCTTTATTTGAATTTCATTTTTGACCTCTTGGTTTATAGAAGTGAAAAAGTTCACCAAGTAGACCATGAAGCAAGTGGTCCAGCAAGGGGAGCAGGTGGCAGCACAAACTCAGGGCCAAGTCGATAAGAGGTTCAGCAAGGGAGCAATCTGTCGGGATGGGGTGGGGGGCAGGGAAGAGCAGATGTGGCAGAGCCTGCAGGGCCTCTTGGGGAACTGGGGCCCTTGACTTTTACCCTGAGTTAAAGGCAGCATCCCTGAAAGTTTCCAACCAGGGAGGGCCATATGTCTGAATAGGATCCCATAACTTCAGGCCAGGGTGGAAGCAGGAGGCACTTAGGAAGGCCATGTAATACTGTAGGCAGTGATGCCAGGCTTTCGTGGAGCCTGAGCCCTATTGCTTGCTTTCTCTTAATTCTCTGCTACCCTGGATTCCTGCAGACACTTAACACTTCTATGAGAGCTTAAGGTGACCTTTAAACAAAGAGCTAAAATGCACAGTTGGATTCAGAATTGTTTTAAGGTGAAGATCCTGTCACTGAATCCTCATCACAGCTATGTGAGGTTGGTGCTGTTAGCAGCCCATTTTTCAGATGCAGAAAGGAGGCCTGGAGAGTGAAGGCTGCATAGCCAATGACAGGGAAGGCTCAGCCTCTTGAATCCCAAAGCTCAGCTCCTTATACTATTTCTTTTTTTAAAGCTTTGTTGGTTTTTTCCTTTTAATTTTTAAAATTTATTTGTTTCCATATTTTGTGTGTCTTCCCTGCATGTATGTAAGTGCACTCATGCATGCAATGCCTGAGGAGGCCAGAAGAGGGCATCAGAGCCCCTGGAACTGGAGTTATAGACAGTTGTTAGCTGCCATGTGGGTGCTGGGGATCCCACCTGGGTCCTCTGCAAGAGCAGCCAATGCTCTTAACAGCTGAGCCACCTCTCCAGCTCCTCATTAGTTACTTATGGCAACACTGGGAGACAGGCAGGACAAAGATATGGTCTTGTATTTCAGATAAAGAAAAGCTGAACATCAGGTAGCAACAGCATCATAGTGTAGCTGTATCATTGCTCATAACAGACTTCAGACTTTGGCTTAGGGCTGTTGTATACAGGTTGTGCCCTGCAGCCCCCTGGAGGGTACCAGTCACATGTCTCCATTTTGTAGATATCCACGCTTATTATGACAATTTTCTAGAAAATAACAGTAAGATATCTTGAAGAAATACTTTCTGAAGTAACTGTCATTTGAGCTCGTAAAGGCCCTGGATTGGCTTAGGAACCTGTTCAAAACCATTTGTGTGTTTCCAAAGAACAGCTGACCTAAACATAAGCAATGCTTGTAAAGAAATCTCACTAAGTAGAGTGATATTGGCAAGAGATGCTAAGCAGATCTGATCTGAAGAAACACAATTCAGGGGAAAAGAGAAGTTACTGAGCTTTGACTAATGACCTCTCTCCCCAGTCCATAAACTGCATTATGTTTAGAAAATCTTAGCTTTATACATTCCTGCACATTGGCTGATCTGGCTCAGGAAATCTTTAGGTCCCAAAGATCATAAGAAAGCTTGGAAGTTCAGTGGACTGGGTCCCCTGGTGGATCAGTCTCCTTGTACAGAGGTAGACTGATAGATAACAGGGGTCATTTGAAGAACATTTCCAGGCCCACATCTCTGAGCAACAGGGTGGAACTGAATTTATATGCCTACAGCGATTTAGCACAGAAATATTTGGTTTGGTTTGTTTTTAGAACCCAGGTTGGCATCAAACTTGTGATCCTCTTGCTTCAACCTCACAAATGTTGGGGTTACAGATATGTATCACAATACCAAAGACACCTACAAAATGCTAGGGTAGACCAGCCCTAGTCATTCATCAACATGTATTCCTGGGGAACAGAGCTCTGGTCACAGAAGTGGGCATTAAGAGAATTCAACCATGGCCACCCAGTACTGATCTTTTCCCACATTTAAGCCTCCACGATAATGCGATGACATGAGGGTCCCATTATCCATTGCCAGGGGAGATGGAGCAGCTGGGGCTGCAAGAGGACAAAAAAGTTAAAAGTCACCTGTCTAAAATGTGGGTGAGGCTTAGTGTTCTGCCAGTGATCAAAGAAGCCCTCTCTGAGAAAACCAAGAGGCTGGAAGGGGCTGGACCTATGTCCACTTTACTAATGAACTATGGAGGGCCACCCTTTCAGTGGTGATGCCCAGCCAGCACCACCTCTATCACCAAGACTCCCTTCTCAAACTTTCCTCTTTCTCACTATCCTGTGCTCCGGAGCACTTATGACTATCAGATAAAATGCATTGTTAATCTATCACTTCATTATTCTTGCCAGTTTTTGGTGAATGAATGATGCACTTAATTGCTATTTTTGATTAGGATTGGAAATTTCAGCCCAAAACCCTGCGCCGAAATAATTCCAATTCAAAGAAAGACATTTAATATTCAAGGTTGAAAACAATTTATGTTATGTCATCATTTGGTGTGAAACCCTCTAAGAACTCACTACATTGAGAGTAACAGCCAGCTACTTGGGGGAAGGGGGCAATTGAGAGCATGTGGGGTGCTGAGCTTGGAGGTCCGAGTATGTACAAGTGGGACCCAAAGCCATCCCTGCTCCTGTGAACAGAAAATAGCCAGGCTGAGAGTTACTGCTGAACCAGAGCTGGAGAGCATCATCTCCTATGCCCAAGAAGGCAGCCAAAGTTGTGGCCGTCATTTTCCTGCTGGAAAACTGAATCTTGTAGGGCATTGGAAGCATGTTTAAGGTTGCCTGGCTGGGAAGAGGCAGAGCAGAACCCACCCTGTCAGCAGGTCTGGGACCCGATTCAGACAGGGCTCTTCACTCAGCTGTTTCTGAGGCTTAAGTGGCCCCTCACTTGAGATGCCTGTCACCCGGAGGCTTCAAACACAGATGACTGGACTTCACTGCCCAGACAAGCAGATCCCTGGAGCTTTCTGATGCAGTGGCCTACAGTGAGGTAGAGAATTTACAAATCTAACCTGTCTCCAAGTAAAGCTGCTACTGCTGGCTTGGGGAACAACACATTGGGAATACCTGTTGTAAATGAATCTGTTGTACATAGTATCATGTCCCAACTTAGAGATTTAGGGACACAGTGCCCTCCGTCCCCTGGAACCCCGTTCTGCTGCCATCATCCCTTCCCTGGCTAGATGAATCTGACCTGTGTCTTTTGAAAAGCACTTACCCGGGAGCCAGTCCATCCTAGCAAGGCGAAGGCCCGGCGCTCGTAGGGGCACATGACCAAGTCCACACGGATGGCCTTCCAGCCCTTTCCTTCATGCTGGCTGCTCCTGTCAGTGTCCACTCTCTGGTGGGGCAGCTTCAAAATCAGAAAGCACTTCTGGAAATGATCCAAAGCATCCACCTTCCTGCTAGGCAGCTTAAACTTTTCAAAAGTCGACTCAATGTGGTCACAATACAAAAGCAACTCCTGGGAAGAGACAGGGAAAGATCAGGAAGGGTCCCAGGGGAGGGAGTCTGCACTCTTATGGTGGACTCTAAACAAAGCCTTTATAGAGCAGGTTGGACAGACGTGGGCATGTTTTTGTCCTTACTAGCCTGGCAACGAGGAGAGGAAGCTGAGCAAGTGTTTGTCACGTTCTCTCAACAGAAAAGTAACTTCTCCATGAGAGAGGCTGAGCCAAAGCCTCTCAGCAGTAAAACTTCAGAGCATCTGCCTTCCCTCTTCTGCCTCCCAGGGACAACCCCGCTCTTTTAAAAGCAAAGCTACTGGGGCTGGAGAGATGGCTCAGTGGTTAAGAACACTGGATATTCTTACAGAAGACCCAGGTTTGAATCCTGGCACCCACATGGCAGCTAACAACTGTCCATAACTCCAGTTCCAGGGAGTCCTCTTCTGTCCTCCATAGGCATTGCACCGTACAGGTGCACTTACACACATCCAGGTAATACATGCATACAAATAAAATAAAAATAATAAAATATTAAATAAATAAATAAAAGCGAAGCTATTATAAACATAAAGTCAAGCTGCTTTCTGAATGTCACACTGATGATCCAATTGGACCAGTCCAAAGGGTTGTGGCTGGAGGCTCAGGCCCAAGTTGGGGTAGGGTGGCTTGCTGCTTCTGTTTTGTGTTGCTGTGCTGGGGACTGAATCCAGGGCCCTGTACCTGCTAGGTGGACATTCTACAACTAAGCTATATCTTGAGCCCAGGGGACACTGCTTCCCTAAGAGTGCTATTCTGCCCATCTTAGAGATAGTGAAGAGAAAGTCTATGATGTCTGTTTCCTCTAAAGTTCCTATTCAAAAAGTTAGTAAGTGATTCAAAGGTATACCAGGCAAGTACCAGTCTCTAGTAGTTTATCTGCTCCACAGGACTTTCTCCCACATGGGGTAGCTGTGGGCAAGGACACACAGACAGGCAATCGACTGCTAATGTAATCAGAGCTACTGGGGAATGATTTGTTATTTTGTATTCTTAAGGTCAGATGGTCTCAAATGTTATCATCAAAGGTGCTTGTTAAATCGTGGTTTGTAGGAAGCACTCTGTCCTCAGAGCAATCCAATGAAGGGCAGGTGGGGGAGCAAGAATCTATATTTCTAGCTATGCATGGTGGTACAGGTTTGTAATCCTAGTACCTTGGAAGCTGAGGCAGGAAGATCTCAAGTTCAAGCTCAGTTTAGGCTACAGAGTGAGACCTTATCAAAAAAAAAAAAAAAAAAAAAAAAAAAGGAAAGGATCGGGCCATGGTGGCTAATGCCTTTACTCCCAACACCTGGAGGCAGAGGAGGGTGAATCACTGGTCAACATAGCAAGTTCCAGGCCAGCGGGGCTACAGGGAAACCCTGTCTTAAACAGCACAACAAACAAATGAATAAAAAATAATTCGTTTGTTTTATTTTATTTAGATAGGATCTCATTCTGTTTCCCAGGATGGTCAAACTCATGATAATTCTCCTGCCTCAAATACTGGGATTAGAGATTTGAGCCATCACACATAACAGAATTGCATCTCCAACAAATCTCTGAGTGGGAATGATGCCACTGGTCTGGGGACCACATTCTGAGCATCACTGGTTCAGTTATGATTACTGATGATGCACCTGGTCTACACTCTGAGCATCGCTGGTTCAGTTATGATTGTTGAACTATATTCCTGGTCTGGGGACCACACTTGAGCATGACTGGTTCAGTTATGATTACTAGATGATGTACCTGGTCTGGGGACCACACTCTGAGCATCACTGGTTCAGTTATGATTATTGAATGATGTCCCTAGTCTGGGGACCACACTCTGAGCATCACTGGTTTGACTATCATTATTGGATGTACTTTCCATTTCTTCTGCAAACCATCAGGAGCCATTGTCTCAGTCCAGTCTTTTCTGGATTGTAACAGAAGGCAGGCTTTGGAAGATCACAGACTCCAGGAGAGAGGTAACTGCTGCCATAGGTCTCCTATAAAACCCAGCCTAGGGAAACAGCTCTGCCTTTTAATGAGACTTACCAAAACATACTCTGGAGCAGACTTTCATGTAAATTTCAAGGTGTGGGGTTGAAAAATAAGTCATTAAGGTTAGTACAAGTCTCACATTGAAGACAAATTTATAGTAACATCTACTTCCCTTTAAGAAGTATCCATGCTTAAAGCTCACTCACTGAGAGGGAGCTCATGTGTGGTACTGTAAACATAGCCAAATACATATGACTAGAGGGGTCATAGGTCTTAGAGAAAACCCCAAGGCTGCCATATCCCTGGACAAATGTAATTTCTTACTATGTGCTAAATATGGATCCTTATATTTACAGACAAGTACGCCAGTCACCACTCATCAAAGAAGCTTCTTTTGCAACAGACGGAGACTATTACAGAGTTCTATATCCGGTCACACACAGAGATTAAGTGTCTATGAAACACTCAACCCTAAGTGACACATTTACAATGGAACCTCTGCACCTAAGGCTCTTGAAACATAGTGAAACAAGGGGCAGAGAGAATACTAATGCATTTCTCAACTCTCATCAACAAAGCTCCCTCATGTAACAGAGGGCAAGGAACACAAAGGGCCACAAATGGCCAAAGTGTAAATAAGAGTTTGCAGAGTATGGATCCTTGGACAGGACTCGTATATTAAACTTCACCCACCCAGGGCTCAGGGACCACTACAGAAGACGGGGCAGAAAGATTAAGAGCCAAGGGAAGAGGTGCACAACCATATAGAAAGAGAGCCTTACAAGCTCCTGTGACCTTGAACATATGAACTTACAACAATGCTGTCAGCATTCACAAGACCCATGCAAACTCAAGCAGACGAAAACCCAACATAGAACTGAGGAAATGGGCAGCAGGCACCAATCTTAGTCAAAGAACTATTGGGCTGTTGATTACTGCTGGTTGAGGGAAAGCTGACCTTCTTTAAGGGAGTGACTCTAGATGGGCTAACTAGCCCAGTGGATGAACATACACTGAAGGACATTGAGGGATACTAACTTGACTTGATAGGCCTTAACATAAATGATAGAAAGTATGAAATCCAGTGAGAGGGCTATGGGAGGGTGCTGATGGGGAAGGGGATATAAAAATGATTAAGATGTTCTATATGAAATACATAAAAATTCAATAAAAAACATACCAAAAAAAAAAAAAAAAAAAAGCATCCACGCAGTTAACTTCTTAATAGAACTGTGTGTGTGCTGCCACCACATGGCGCTGTAGCACTTGCTGGTAACAGATGGGGGTGTTCTTGGGTGAATGGTATTGAACTTGGCAACGCATTGAGGACTGAGGCGTTCCATCCAGTGCTGAGTGCTGTCTGAAGCCCCAGGTGTGGCCCTAGCTCTCCAGATGGGCTTTCTGCTGTGTATCCCTACTGTGTGCATCACTCCGGGTCCCATTTCCTGAGAGGTGATTTTTCTCCTCTGCAACTGCTTCAAGGGTAGGACTCAGACTTCCCCATCAGTACCCACTGTTGACTGGATTGTATCAGCATCGTCTTTGCCTTTCTTCCTAATAGAAACTGACAGTCCTGGCTAGGAAGGAGGCCTTTCCCTGCGACTTTGCTTTGTCCCTGAGGACAAAGCAGTCAGCTCTCACACAGGAAGGAAGGTGGGGCAGCTCACCTTCCAGCTTAGGACCAATTAGCCACAGGCTACACCAAATCAACAGTGTAAGAGCAGAAAGGGTTGTTAGCTAACTGAATGTGGGGCCCTCCAGCCAGGATCTTTCCCAGCCCTTTGCTGTCAAACTCTTCCATCTCCTCAGAAGAATCAGTGTCTGCTGTTCAAACTTAAGTCAGTTTTACAAAGTGAGTGCAGTCATTGCATCCCTGGAATTGGTTCCAAGCTCCTTGGAGCAAAATCTACAGGTGCTCAAGTCCTTCCTGTGTATGTTTGCATACGGACCACTCACAGCCTCCTGGACTTTCAATCACCTCTAGATTACCATACTTACTACTATGTAAATGGAGGTCGTACTGTAGTGTTTAGATAAGGAGAGGACAGCTGCACATGTTTAGCTTGGAAACTGGTTTATTGTTTTTTGTTTTTTAATTTGTTTGTTAGTTGAGACAGGGTCTCACTATGTAGCCCCAATTCACCTGAGGCTTGCTATGTAGACCAGGCTGGCCTCCATCGCACAGAGATCCACCTGCCCCTGCCTCTGGAGTGCTGGGATTAAAGGCCTGCACCACCATGCTGGGCCACCTTTTTTTCTAGTACCTACCTCTTTCTATCTAATTGGTTGAATTAATGAATGCAGAACCCAATGTCCTGGTCACAAAGAACTGACTTTAAGTTCCTTTCGGTTTTGATATTTTGAAAAAGATCTCACTATGTTAGCCCAGGTTGACCTGGAATGGAACTCATGGTAATTCCTCTGCCTCAGCCTCCCAAATCTTTGCGATGACAGGCAAGAGCCACCAAGCCTAGTTTTGACCTCTACTCTTACTCTCTGATGAATCGCAATACTTTTAATCTCCCAGCACTTCTGTGAACTGGACATGTGGCCACATGGAGCAGCCATTAGGGTCCTGTGCCCAGGTCCTATTCACTAGGCATGAACTCAAGTCCGGGTCATGTAGCCTCGTACTTTGTGGTGAACTATCAGTAGCCAGTGTCAGAATTCAAGTAGACAGAGTCTCTGGGATGGAGACTCTCCCAGAGATCAGTATTTCTAAGTTTTTGCCTTCTTTTTCTATACCTCTGACCATAGGATTTTTTTTCTTTTAAAAATTTTACTTTTCAGCACTTGGGCGGCAGAGGCAGGTGGATCTTTGTGAGTTCAAAGCCAGCTGGGGCTACAGAGAAACCCTGTCTCAAAAGGACCAAAAAAATTATTTTTATATTATGTACATGAATGCCTATGTATCTAACTGTATCCCTGAATACAATGCCTATTGGAACTGGAACTGGCGTTAAAGACAGTTGTTAAGCACCATGTGGGTGCAGGGGACTGGAACCAGATCCTTGGCAAGAGTAACCAGTGCTCTTAACCACTGAGTCATCTCTGTAGCTCCCAAGGGGTTTTCTTAAAAGGACACCATGCATGGTCATCTGATGGGAGTGCACATAGAGCCCACTTGGCTGTTCAACATGTTTCTCAGACATTTAACCATGTGATGGTTATGTTGTGTATGTTCTATGAGTAGTGTGTGTGTGTGTGTGTGTGTGTGTGCCTGTGTGAGCTTTGTTAAACATCTGGAATGTGTGAAGAATCACTTTTTCTGGGAATTATTCTTTGTAAGAAGCCTTTGACAATTGAACCTTTGCATAACCTTGATAATCATATGTTTTGAGAACATTTAAAAATATGTTTACATACTATGTATTCAGGTTGGCCTCTAAGAAAAACCTGCAGTGATTTGGAATCCCAATGTAATTAACTCTTACAAGCTAAGTAGAATGCATAGCTTCGGTCTTATACCATATTCCCTATTTCTTTGTGACTTGTTATACCCTCAACTCAGAACAATGTGTGCATTCCTGAAATGTGGTAATGAGATGTAAGACACACGAAAGGAGTGATGACATTGAAAACAGTGATGAAATTGAAAACATTTTTGCACAAATGTTGGAAGCAACATGTGGGTGGGCACAGGTTGATGCTATCTGTCTGTGGTATTGTGTGCTGTTCTGAGTCAGGTCAGAAAAACTACTTCTTCCTTATAAACCTGTTTGCAAAGACTGTTTCTGCCTTTCTCATGCCATGTACTTAATCGCTGTTCAATAAATACAGACACATTAGAGAAAAATCTTCACTTTTGGGGTAGGTTAGCCAAGAGTGGGCCCAGCCTGTTTTGAAGTGTTCTCATTTCTCTTAGAACTGTTCTTTCAGAAATATGTGTCAAATAAAGGACACCTCCTCTCTGTAGTGTCAGTGAGGGAGGAAGAGCTGTACCTGCTCACTCCTGGGTACCCTGCTGGCCCAGTGCCTGGTTCTCACACACAGTTCAATAAGCAGTTGTGCCAGTGATCATGACAGTCACCATCTGTTAGGTATTTACCATTTGCCAAGACTTCCACTGACTTTCCCATTGAGTCCCTTGTTAACACAGAGAGAGGCTTGTTCTGGCTTTACAGACAAGAAAGTGGATCATGAAAGAGTAAGGAACATCAAGACACTGGCCCACCTCTCTGCTGGAGGTGGGGAGATAAAAGACTCTAGCTAACAGACCAAAGAATGCCTCTCCCCCAAGGCTATTGCCAAAGTGTGAATGGAATGGGCAGCCTGGGTCCCACCAGGGGGTCTTGTTGATCTTTGTGATAGCACCACGGTCCCCATGCTAAGACATTCCATGACTGGGTCAGCATCTTGATTCTTCATCTTGCCATCTCCTGGCTGGGCCTATGTTGTCTACTCTCTGGAACTCTGGTCACCATGTGCTCCTTCTCCTGAGAGGGACAGAGAGACAGTGGCATGGCCTCACAGGTGAGTTTGAATCTGGTTCTGAAGTCCAGTCTTCACTGTGGGAAGTGGGGCCTTAATTACAGGGAGCCAGGTGGCTTTGGTTGTGGGGTTAGTGCAACTCAGTTTTGTCCATTGATAATGGGTTACCCCATGTCAGGTCTGATTTCATTCTGGGCAGGAGCTCTGAGCCACAATGTCTATAGGGCCCTGCTTGCCCTCATTGGTTTCCTTCTCATTCAGCACAAAGTCAAGGTGGGAACTGGTCAGCAGAAAATCCAAGGCACCAGCAACACCTCTTAAATGGGTTTCATCCAGTCTAAGCAGTCTTATTCTACCCTAAGTGTATAGGGTAGAACACATCCAGCTTACACTCCCCAGCAAATGGTTTTGATTTGTTTTCTGTCTTCTTCCCTTCGCAGTTCAGACAAACGCATACTCAGCCCATGCTCCACTGGTAACACAGTCCGTGTAATGGACAAGATACATACTCGTAATGTGCTGTCTGGGACCCAAGCAGGCAAGTCTTATTCTAGTCATGTGGCTTTGTGATAAGGTATCACAAACAACTGAAAATTGACTCAGTGGTCACTGCACAATGATCAGGTAAATACTGCATAAAATTAACAATGCTTGGGGCAGGAGAGGTAGCTTAGTGGTTAAAGCCCCTGCCTTGCAAGTATGAGAACCAGTTTTAGATCCTCAGAACCCATGTAAATGGGAGGTATGGTGTGCACCTGTAATTCCAGCTTTGGAAGCAGGAGGCAGGAGATCTGCAGGGTAAGTTTACTAACAAGCAGTGGGTTTGAATGAGAGACCTTGCCTTGATGAACAAGGTGGAAGAGCCACAGAGGATGATTCCTGACATGAACCTCAGGCCTCCACATGCATGCACATCTGTGTTCCCACATGTACATACAAAAAAAAAATCATGCATACACTCACACAAGAGATACACATGCATGAAAATAGAAAACAAACAAAAAACAATACCGACGTGGTGCTTGAGCGAGTCGGCACCTGCTTTTATCATCTTACCTTCTGTTTCCATAAGTTTGTCACTTGGTGCAGAAGTTGTTGCTCTTCTTCCTCTGCTGCTCCTGGGCTGGTAATTAAAAAATCTACATCATGCCCAATCATCTTGCCCCTAATTTTAAAAAAGTGCAAAATTGAAATCAATTTAACTTTTTGCCCTTTATTTTTATTTTTAAATATTTTATTTATTATTTTTATTTTACATGTATGAATGTATTGCCTGCATGTATGTAAGGTGCACCTATGTCATGCAATGCCTGTAGTGGTCAGAAGAGGGGGCCAGATCCCTTGGCACTGGAGTTACAGATGGTTGTTAGCCACCATGTGGGTGCTGGATCCTCTGCAAGAGCAGTCAGTGCTTTTAACTGCTGAGCCATCTCTCCAGCCCCCTTACCCCTTTGATTTTTAAAAGCTCCCTTTGTTTCTATGTCCTAAGTGTACGGTTTGTGATGCAAAATGCTCATGTTTTTAAAGTCAATTATCTTTGGTTGGACTATTCCTTACAAAACAAATTTATAACACAGAAAAAAAAAGCTGTATGTGGCATGTATATTATGATGTTTGGAGGGAAAAAAGTCATGAAGACTTCTTGCATACATTCACTGATATCTATAACACACACATGAGAATAACAAGCAGCAGACCAAGCACGGTAGTTGTATTGTACAAGGCAGCCTTCTTGGAATTTCCTTTTTTTTTTTTTTTTTTTTTTGGTCTTTTTGAGTCAGGGTCTCCCTGTAGCCCCAGCTGGCCTGGATTGCTATGGAGACCCGGCTGGCCTCGAACTCCCAGAGATCCACCTGCCTCTGCCTCCTGAGTGCTGGGATTAAAGGTGTGTGCCACCACGCCTGGCTTTAATTTCCTTTTTTTTAAAGACAGGGTCTCATGTAGTCCAGGCTCTCATGGAACTTGCTATGTAATTGATGATGACTTTGAACTTCCTACTCTCTGCCTCCACCTCTCAAGTGCTGCAATTACAGGTACTGCCACACCTGATTTATTTGTTGCCAGGGGTCAACCTCAGGGCTTCCTGCACGCTAGGCAAGCACACTGCCAACTGAGCTACAACCACAACCCAAGGACATTTTCCTTGATTCAGTCTTTTGCTTTGTCCCAAGGTTGCCTCATCAGAATGGACACAGGTATTAGGCTAGAGGCTCAGAAGGAGAGGCCAATGAGGGGTGGGAAGGAACTAGTCCCCTTCTGCAATGGAACACTGAGCATCTAACTAATCACATGAGGAATAGGAGAAAAAGCTGCTGAGAGACGCAGAGACCAGATCCAAGCTGGTTTTGTTGCACTGTTTCAGAAGCCTGAACAAGAGGGGGAGCTACTAAAGCAAGTGGACCAGGGGTCATTGACAGGCCTTTAAAAAAAAAATTTAGTCAGTATTCAGAAGGCAGAGACAGGTGAATCTCTGTGAGATCAAGGCCAACCTGGTCTACATGGCAAGTTTCAGGCCAGCTGAGGCCATAGGGAGATCCCATTTCAATTAATCAAATAATCAATCATTAAGTAAAATAAAATAAAAATGCATTTTAAAAATGAAAGGACAGATAACAATGGAAGACAAGGAATAAATGGGGAGACGGTGGAGAGGGAGTTTAAATATGATAAAAATATATTGTATGAAATTCTGGAATTAATAAAAAATTAAAACAAAACAAAGCAACAAAAAATCCAGTTGCATCATTTACCTGCGGAACCCTCCTGTCATGGTGACCAAGGCATCAGGAAGAAAGTGTGCGACTGCCTCTTGAACCAGCACGCTGACTGCTTCTGCTTCCACCCTGTTCACACAGCTCACAAGGTCTTCATAATAGAGGAATCCTGAGAGGCCATTTGACAGGTCAGTGGAGAGAGGTACATATAAGATACAGCCCTCACTCAGAGAGGATGCATTCTCATACAATGCTACTGGGTCCTAGGTGTCCACTAGACCATTTACACAGAGCACAGTAATCCATGATGTCTGCTTGTCCATCTACTTGTGCGCTTCTCATGGTGCTTTGATTTCTGATCCAATCTGATGCCATAATGAAGAACCAGTCTCCTCCTCCTTGTATTCCTTTCCCTCCTCCTCTTCCTCCTCCTTTTCTTCCTCTTCCTCCTTGTTCTTCTTCTTCTTCAGTCTCAATCTCTTTTTAAAAATATTTTATTTATTATTTTAAATTTATGTATATGCATGTATTGCCTGCATGTAAGTAAGTGCACCCGTGTTGTGAAATGCCCGTGGAGGACAGAAGAAGCTGTCGGATCCCCTGGAACTGGAGTTAAGAACTGCTGTTAGCTGCCATGTGGGTGCTGGGATTTGAAACTGGGTCTTCTGCAAGAACAGCCAGTGTTCTTAACCACTATCCATCTCTCCAGCCCCCCAGTCTCAAACTCTTAATCCTACCACCTCTGCCTCCCGAGTGCTGGATTATAGGTGTGCAACAACATGCCCAGCCTTTTTGACCAATAAGCCATGCCCTATCATTTTAAAAGGTAGTACATAAAGGCTTGGGATGGGGGAGAGCTGAACACTTGGCTATCTCTACAGAGAGGCTGGAGGAAGGCAGGGAGGAAAGGAAGCTTATCTCCAAAGACTGGAGTGAAGTATTGGTGGGGGGTGGGGAGCTGGGCCAGTTGAAGGGAGTCTGCCTATAGATAGTTATGTTTCCCTACAAGACACTGTTCTTCCATTTATAGTCCCAAGAGGGGGCCACCCAAATGCCACCTGATAACTGGGAACCCACTGCCAAAGTGTAAACTTGGCTCAGGCAGTTTTTTTCCTTTTGATAAGCTTATATCTCCTTTTTCAAAGTTCTCTGCCTCACTGGCCCCCAGAAAGGACACAGCAAACCTGTTGATCCTTGCTTCTTATACCAGGATGAGAGGCTGCCGTGAGGTCATTGGCTTGAGCATCCTGTAAACAAAGCTCTCAAGTTCATAGTCATCTGTACTCTCTAAATGAGACAAATGTGTTGGTAGGACCACTAAAAGATGTCCACGCTAATGCACTTGTAAGTGTCCCCTGCCAAGCCAGGGTATTTATAGAACTGAGGCGTTTTCTCACTTTATTTTCAAAAGTCCCCTTTTTCATTGGAATGTGGCCCTTTCTGTGTAGAGAATTTGATCTAAATAGCAATGCCCCATTAGGCTCCAGTAAAGGAATCACTATCATCACTGATAGTCAAAGTATGACTTGATGCCATAAAGCCCCGGTGCTCACTTTGTCCTATATAGGAACAAAAAGTTATGATTAGGAAAATTTATTTATGAATGCTTACATACATAAGTAAAATGTACATACATAAAGCTCCTGTGCTCACTTGATCCTATATAGGACCAAAAATTTATGATTAGGAAAATTTATTTATGAATGCTTACATATATAAATAAAATTTACATACATAAAACCCCTGTGCCCACTTGATCCTATATAGGACCAAAAGTTTATGATTAGGAAAGTTTATTTATGAATGCGTGCATACAGCTGAATGTGGTAATTCACACCTGTAATCCTAGCTTTCCAGAGGCTGAGGCAGGAGGATCGCAAAGATCAAGGTTTTCCTGGACTACATAGTGAGTTCCAGACCAGTGGGGCTATGAGATTTTGTCTTAAAGTAGAATGTGTGGAGCTGGGGAGATGGCTCGGTAGGTAGGAGTGTTTATTCTTCAAATGTGAGAACCCTAATTCAAATCCCTAGCACCTATTGAAAAAGCTGAACTTAACTGAAAATGCCTGTAACCCCAGGATTGGGAGGCAGCGGGTAGAGACAGGTGACTCTCAAGAGCTCTTTACTAGTCAGTCGAGTAAAAATGTTGAGATTTCAGTTCAGTGAGAGACCCTGTTTAGAACTCATTTCAGTGAGAGACCTTGTCTCAAGGCAATAGAGGAAGACATGCCGTGTCCTTCTCTGGCCTTTGCAGGCACACACGTGAGCATGTGAACCCACACATTCGTGCAGGCACTCTACACATATCAAACACACACCCCATGAACCAACAAAAAAAGAATGTGCAAGTATCAAGAGTGAACACAGAGGTACTGTGATAATTTGTTGCTATCCATAAAGGCAGCTTAATTCGTTTTCCTTTTGCTATGGGAAGACAGTTAACTCATTACAAGAAATTGATCCCACTGCATGATGTTAAAGGTGTACTGCTCTGCTTCTAAAATTGAGGTTTTAAAGTAAATGTGGCCTGTGAAAGTTCTAGTCCCAAGGAGCAGCAATGAATGCAATTCTAAGTAAAGCTGAGTAAGGGTTTTTATCTGCATTGTGAGCCATATCTTCACTGTGCTTGTCTAGTCCGCTCTTCACAGTAGTCTAAGCTACTCACTCTTCACTATGCTGCTGCTCCAAGTCAGGCATATAAGCAGCTGGTTTTCTATAAGTATGATGAGAGGGTATTCCTTGACTTTTGTGCAGAATCAAAAGCATCAAACAGTCCAATGACGACCACCAGTTGACTAAATGAGCAGTTTCTTCACTCACTGCGTTGAAAGGCCCCACAGGGAGAGAGATTCCAGTTTACAAAGCCAGGGAACTGGGTACTCCTTGGATGCTGAGAGCACTTGGCTCATTTAACGGTTTCCTCTAACTGCAACTTGTTGCCTCCCACTTTCTCTCTAAGCATTGAGAGTCCTTACTATCACTTCAAATCATCTCCTTGCCACTTGTGTTTAATACTTATGTAAATTTCTTTTTAATGGCATCTAGGGCTGGCATAAATCATGCCTATTAGATGTGCACTTTCCAGGATCCTGAATAGAAATACTAGATCTTTTTTCTTACATTCATTTTTTTTCTGTGTGGCATTTTATAAAGCTTATTTGAAATAATTCAAAAATTAGCAGATTTACGAGATGAATAGGGGTCTTCAATAGTTACTGGTGGGACACCCCACCTCAAGATCTGGTTTGCTTCCTCCACGGTTGCTTGTGATATCATTGTCTGTGGTCTATTTGTTCCTATTACTTAAATAGAAGATAGCTGTTTATCACCCCTACCCCCATACCCAGTATCTTCTGGTAGAAGATTCCATTATTTCCATATTAAAAACTTACTAACCAGCCTTGTCTGTAACTCTAGAGCCACAGTTCTGAGAACTGTGGCAGTGACTTCCCTTTTGAATGACAGTTTTACTATATTTCTATTGCATGTTAAAGGTAAACATTTAAATCTCACATTTTTTAAAAACCACATATTGCATTTCTTCATTTCTGGAGAAGGTGCTAGGTCTCTCTCCATGAATGGAAGTAATCAAGCCACTCTGGTCTGGACCCTGGGAGGCTTGCTGGGCTTTCAGATGGTGCCAACAGCTTTTCCACCTCCACAAGGTACTGCCTCCTTTTCCTAGACTGCAGGGTTCTGGTTAGATAGATCAAGTCCATGTCTGATTTTCCACACTGTCTTCCAGTTTCTAAAGCCTTTTCGCAGTGTGAACCAACCAGGCACAAATGTAGTTTCATCAAGTATCACTTCACAGCACTTTATCCTTCTGTCTCCTAGACAGAAGCGGGGGGGATGCTGAGGGGGGGAGGGAACAAGACTCGCATGTCTAGAAGACTCTTTAAGAATAAGGTCAATGTCCATCCTGATTTGACATCTAGATACAGGAATCACAGAAGCTCAGGGAGAGGCTTTGTGTGATGCCAGGTTCAGGGCTTGAAGGCTTTGCCTATGTTAGCTGATTTATCCCCCAGTTTTCTCCATTCATCAATAAGGTAACAGATCTCAAGGTTATAACTAACTCAAACAAGATTACTAGCTGGAAAGTGATAGAGTCACAATTTACCCCCAAATCACCCAGATTGAAGTCCAAGTAAAAATGACTTTCATCCCAGCCTGACCTGACCAACCCAGGGAAACCAGGACTTTTCAGAGACTATTACCTGCTTTTTGCATTCGTGTGAATTTCAGGGTTTCGTCTGACTTGATTGTACTGAGAGTTCTAAAACCCATCCTGAACCATTTCTCAGCTGTCTTCAGCCCCACTCCAAAAACAGATGTAAAGAGCTAAAAGAGAAAGAGAAAGGCAGGCTGTTCGAGTCCCCATATCATCACTAGGACAACAAAGTCATACTCCCCAAAGTCTCAGGCCTTGAAGAAAATGTACAAGCAAAACTTTGACTCAGTTTCTTTTGAAAACAAGGAAATGGGTGGTGGCAATTTGTGTATATATGTGCATGTATGCATTCATGAGTGTACACTTGCACAAACGCACGTGCACATGTTTGAGTGAGTATGTAGAGGCCAGAGGTTCATCTTGGACAAGGCTGGCTAGCCAGTGAGTCCTGGTGATATGGGATTCCATATCACACTCTTAATCCCAGCAATGGGGGATTGCTGGGATTAGGAGTGTGCTACCATAGCTGGCTTTTTTATATGGGTTCTGGGATCTTACTCAGGTCCTATGTTTGTGCAGTAGCCCTTTACTAGCTGAGCTACCTCCCGAGCCCAGGTGATGGTGATTTTCAAAGACATTTTGTTTCAGGAGAGTCCTTTCATGGCACACAGTATCCCAAAATGAAACAGAGATGACAGGTAGGTCAGTATCTGTGAACTAGATGTGCCACCTATATAACCTAGGTGACAGATTGCCCCTGCTGTGACTCTGGGAAGTTATCCCTCTAGCTCTCTCCCCATTGTTCAGTCTCTTACATACAATCCTGAACATCTGCCCTCACCTTTGGTAGAGGGATGCTCACAGAGTTAGGTTTATTCACCCCATCTCACAGGTGGGAACAGACTTAAACCTTGGTCTGTCTGTACTCCAAGCCTGGGCTCTGGCTCACGGTCACACCTTAGGCCTTGCATCACTTCTGAACCAAATGAGCTGTTCAAAGTCTCTTCTACTTGAAACCCTAATATAAGAAAAGTTGGGAAGTAACAAACCGAATCTCGTGAATGAAGATGCAACGAGGATCTTTGTTCAGACACAGGTTTGCTCTTCAGGACCAGATTTATTCTGTTTGTATCCTTAAGTCCCTTTGATATTTGTAACAATGAGCGACAGACAGATTCTTGGAAAGTAAAGTGTCATTTGTATAACACCTTCCCATTGAAGTAAGTTGGGATGCCCTATTTATTTAGGTAAATGCTTCTTAGAAGTCTGCTGTGGACTGAGTTGTGGTCCCTGTGTTGAAGCTCTAGTCCCCAGTGTGATGATATTTACACATGGGGTTCCTGTATAGACGAAGCTATGCAGGTGGGGTTATCATGAAACTCAGCTCTTAGAAGAGACCTCAGAGAGCTTGCCTATCATTTCCGTCTCTGCTATGTGAGGACACTGGAGATGGTGGTCATTTGTAAGCTACAAAAAGAACCCTCAACAGAACCTTGGCCTAGAACCTCGACCTAGAACTGTCAGCTTCTGGAACTGGCAGATCATAAATTTATATTGGTTTTATTTTTTGCAGGAATGGGGTAGGGGAGAAAGGGTTTATTTCATCTCACACTTCCAGATTACAGATCATCCTTGAGGGAAGTCAGATAGGAACTCGAGGCAGGAATTATGGAGAAATGCTGCTTACTGGCTTGTGCTTTCTCTGACTCATGCTCAGCTAGTTTCTTATACAGCCCAGTCCCACCTGCCTAGGGATGGTGCTGCCCACAGTAGGTAGGCCCTCCCATACCAATCATCAATCAAGATAATCTTTCATAGACATGGCCACAAGCCAGTCTGATTTTGGAAATATCTCGATTGAGGTTCCCTCTTCCCAGGTGTGTCAAGTTGATAATAAAAACTAATTGGCACTGGGGCCGGAAAGATGGCTCAGTGGTCAAGAACACTGTCTGCTCTTGCAGAGGACCTAGGTTCAATTCACAGCACCCACATGGCAGCTAAAAACTGTAACTCCAGCTCTCGGAGAGCTAACACCCTCTTCTGGCCTCTGTGGAAATTTCTATTGTTTAAGCATCTCAGTCTATAGAATTTTGGTATGGCAGCCTCAGCTACTATAACCAACCTTCAACAAGTAATAAGATTAACTGAAAAACCATTTTTTAATAAACAAATGCAAAATCACTTACTTTGAAGGATTTATAGCGTTCATCATTCAACACAGCTTTGACTTCAGAACTTTCTCCATCTTCAATAATTCCCTGCATGAAGATTTGAAAAGAAGATATCGATTGGATAATTGAGGTGCAAGTCTCAAACCCACAGACCTGATTTCTCATGAGATACAGGAGGTTCCCCTGGCTGATCTAGAAAGCAAAATTCCCCTGTAATCTCAAAAATCTTAACTCATGATTATCTAAAGACTACTTTATAAGCCTCAGACACAAGGATATAGAAAGATGTGGGTCTGAACCCAAAGAACTCCGAATCCAAATAGCCACTGGCAAATATTTGCCCAAATATTTCTGATAATGCTCTTTTCAATGGATATCAACTTGTTGAAATAAGAGGACTTTTCAAACACAGCAGGTTAATTTTTGGTCCACTAAAAACCACTCCATGATCAAACCCTTATGAAGTCTAGCACAGCATCTCCCTCCTCTGAGTTGGGCTATTTTTCTTATATCTTACACTTGATTGAACTGAAACTTTGCATTTGATTAGACTGAAACTTGCTACCAGATGGCAGACTTGCCTTGCCAGGGACTCCTTAGTGTTGTTAAACACAATGCTACTGCCCACTCTCCTCCCAGAACATTACAGATGTAGAATCAGCCCAGTGCACCTCACACTTTGCAGGAGGGGAAGAGCCCTGAATGAGATGAACCTCCCATCCTGCCTGGTTGGAAGTCAGACCATTCCACTGCTACAAGCTCTCCAGCCATGTGAGTCTTTCACTGTAGGTAATCCCAATATGAGAAAACCCCCATTGTCCACTAGCTGGTTTCACATAGCCTGTTGGGATCATACAAGGTATGGATTATGAACATCTGTACCTATATCTGTGTCTATGATGTATAGATCTAGCTATAGATCTATGAGAGAGGCCAAATCTCTCTCTCTCTCTCTCTCTCTCTCTCTCTCTCTCTCTCTCTCTCTCTCTCTCTCTCTCTAAGGGGAGGTGCAGAGAGGGGATCAGATCTCAATACCATCAAACTATATTGCATGAAAGTCTCTGTTCTCCCCTCACCCTAACCTATACAGAGGTCTGACAAATGTCACTTCTCCCTTACCTCTATGACACACTTCACCTTGTCGCCCAGGCAGGGGATTCCCTCTGTGTCTTTCATGCTGATGACAGGGAATGGCAGAGATTTCAGTACAGACGCTGCTCTCATGAATGCCAGACAAGAGCCTTCATTCTCTCTAAATTCATAATTTTCTGCCAGGATCTCAAAGGCATCCTGAAGAATAAGACCAGATCTGCAATTCTGAGAGTTGCTTGTAAATGCCTGATGCTCCCCTTTACCTAAAGGAGTGCCTTTGGACCATTTCCTTAAAAGTCCAGTTCACCCTTCTGTGCCTTTGCACCCTCCCCTGTGGGAACATTGGAGTTGATCTGAAAAGAGAGGTGTGGAGTACGTTATGAGGAAACTGAGTTTCACCACCATTAGACATTTAGGAACAATTTAACCAAATGACCTGGTGCTCACGGTGTCCCACTGGTCGTGATTTGGCATACACCTTTCCTATCTTCCCTACCAGCCTGTGGTCAAGGTTCAGCCATTGATCCCCTGACATCCTCATTGCTTAGCATGTACATAAAACACAGCTAGTGCCTAGCATGGGCTTGTGAGATGAAGAGGTGTACTCATGAGGTCACACAGACCCAAAGCCAGGGTTATTTGAGGTGAGGTATGTTTGCCTTACTGGCAGAGGTGGAAGCAGCTGTGGCCCAGTACCTACAATTTCCTGACCTTCCTCACAGATGTGCCTTGAAAGTTGAGATGAGAAGCTCTGTGTTGATACGCTACTGAGTGCTCTATGCAGGTGAACCCTAACCACTAAGCAGTGGGAGCTTGTTAGGATCATTTGAACATTCAGGCAGTAGGGCTTTACACATGTTCTAGCTAATTTGTTATTACCTAGATGAGAAACTGAGGCTCAAAGAGAGGAATCAGCTTGGCCAGGCTAGTTAACATCAGACTGGAATCCATGTCTGTTGACTCTGGGTCTGTTGGCTTTCTAGCAAAGCCTGGTGATACATTTTTGCTCTTTCTATGTCATTCATTCTTACTATATTTGGGACTAATTATATTATTTGGTTTTTCAGAGTATTTGCCTTTGACAAATGTGGTCATTAATGATGGCACTCAATAAATAGTATCTACTGTCTCTACAGAATAATCCAAATGTATTTTTTCACATCCTTGAAAGAAAGAGACCCACTTGAACAAGAACCAGGGCTGAAGAAGCATTTGCAGATTTCCAGAAAAAGAAAATCACAATTCAACGTATAGACTCACAGGAAGAAGCTTTTGCCCTGGGTATTGAGGTAAAGCCTCATTACCGTGAATATGTGGTTACAGTTATTTAAAGTGGTTCTTCTCTGACATGCGTACTGAGAGATCTTTCGCACAGCAAGTGGTGGAGTCTTCATCTCTGAAACTGGGATGGGGCTGGGGGAAGAGCCTCCTCTCACCTACACAAATGCAAAAGTATTCAGTTTGAATGACAATAATATATAAATATAGGTATTTGTTCATAAACATACAAATGAAACATTTATTTGAAAGCAGTTTAATGGAATTTGTCTCTAGAAAAGGGTAAAACTACAGAGGACTCAAATTTTGTCGCACATGTCTTTAAGACTGAATTTCCTATTGTTGACATGTATTATTATTTTTCCTTATATTCATATATAGCAATTGTACAAGATAATGAGTTTTATTTTCACATTTCATACTTGTACACGTATTATTTTTAAAATCATAAAAAAGAAAAAGAACCATCTATTAATTATCATTTTCCTTTTTTGTGTGAATTTATGACAGTATGGTCCAAACCCTTTTCCCAAAGGTTATAGCATTGTTAGTCAAGGATTTGGAATTAAGAACTTAAAATTTAGGACTAGAGAGATGGCTCAGAGGTTAAGAGTACTGGCTGCTCTTGCAGAGGACCTGGGGTTTGATTCCCAGCACCCATATGACAGCTAACAACCCTCCATAACTCCAGTTCCAGGGGATCTGTCACTCTCTTCTGGCCTCCGTGGGCCTTGCATGCATGTGGTGCACTTAAGTACATGCAGACAAAGCACTGATATACATAAAATAAGAATAAATAAAGTTTTTAAAGAACTTAAAATCTTTTTTTCCTGAATGGTCATAGTAAAAAAAATAGGAACTTTCTATGTTTCTAGTTGCCAAAACGTGATGCTCTTTAAGTACTTTGAAATAACTGTGCATGAATGTGTTCATAAAAATAGTTGCTATCCAGGCTCAGCAGTTAAGAACACTGGCTACTCCTGCAGAGGACTGAGGTTCAATTTCCAACACCCATGGCAGCTAACAACTGTCCTTAACTCCACTTCCAAGGGAGGACACCCTCCTCTGACCTCCTCAGGCATTGCACGACAAGGGTGCACTTACATACATGCAGGCAATACACTCATACACATAAAAGAAAAATAATAAAGTATTTTAAAATAGTTGCTATCTATTCATGCCTATAATATGTCAGCACTGTGCATACATGTATGTTATTCCAGTTTCCATGCAATCTCATGAAGTGGGCATTACTGTTGTATGAAGAGGAGGAAAGGGAAGCTCAGAGCTAAGTGACTCAGTGAGGAGAGAATCTGAGGTGCAACCCAGGTCTGTGGATCCACCAGAGAGGACACTTACAAGAAGCTGGTGTTTTCCTGTCATCTCCACTGGCTTCCCTGCTCCCATGCATTCAATCAGCCAGGAGATGTCGAGGAGTTCCAGCTCAGAGGTGGCTTTGATGTTCTGTTCCTGGAGCCACTCCAGAACATCTGTGCCTGAGTTGTTCTCTGCTACAATGTGGGTGACAGAATCGCTAGAAATGGAAGACAAAGTTATCAGCTAAAAGGAATTTTCAAAATGAGATGCTCGCTCTCCGCTGTCCTTAAGGTTTCAATGTCTCATAGGCTTCCACACAAGGGAATCCTTCTGTTTTAATTAGTGGAGCAGTAGTAAACTATATCACATGTTGGATGCAAGAGAAATAAGGCAATATCAGTAATGGAAATATTAGCAATGGAAAACAGGCTCAGAGAAGAAGAGGAATTTCTGTGAAATTGTCCTGAAAGCAACGCTTGGCATGGTGCAGGGAAGGGACGATGTGGTCACTGGCTCTTCTTTTCCAGGGTTTTCAGGCCAATGAAGGTTTTTATAAGCAGAACACAGATAGCATTATGGTGTTGTTTTCAAAAGCTAGTCTAGTACACACAATGAATTGAACAGGAGAGTGTTGGGGTAGGGATACATGGGAAACTTCTTAGGACAATGCACCGATACACCAGGTGTGAGATGAATTTAATGAAGTCTGGTTCCTGCTACATTTGAAAGGAAAGCAAGGGAGAAGCAGATGGACATCAAGCATGAGCTCCTGTGAGATCTGGAGAAGGGAGTCACATTATCCACATTTCCATCGCAGTAAAGTGACAGGACTCTTGGTAAAAATAGGGAGTTAAGAAGTCGCATCTCTTTGGGGGAAGGTGGAGACGTGGAATTGAAGCTCTGTCAGGGATGCCGCACCTCAGGGTGTAAGAGGCCCAAATGGAAATATCTGGTTGATAGGTGAGGCTTGAGGCTAGTGCCACAAGAAAGACTGGAAGTTGAAACTGAAACCAGGAATAAGTTGTGGTCAGACAGTATTTTATAGGGGCCAAGGAAATTCTGGTAACTACCTCCCTAACTTAGGTCTATTTAATTCCAAAAATCATTTATCATAACTTTGAGGCAACAACAACTAATAACAGAGAACATGTTAGTCCATCCTGATTTCTACCCGTTAGAGGAAATCAATTTGCTATATTATATATGCATAAATATATATTATAGCTATTACGTATTATTTGTTATAATGTTATTGAGTAAATGCAAGCACTTAGTTTTTTGTCTTTGTCGGTTTTGTTTCATTTGTTTGCTTGCTTTGAGACAGGGTCTCACTATGTAGTCCTGACTGGCCTGGAACTCTCTATGTAAACCAGGCTGGCCTCAAACTCACAGAGATCTGCCTGCCTCTGCCTTCTGAGTGATAATATTAAAGGCATGTGCCACCATGCCCGGCCAACATTTATTACAAACAAAATTTTGCCAGGAGCAGGGTATGCTGAGGAGTCCTGGCCCTCAACTTCCAAGTCTTCCCCTCAGCATCCCTTCTCACCACCCTTCCACCCCACTCACCTCCCCTCCCCTCAACCCCCACTCTTTTCCTGGGATTTCCTGGGACCATGTGGGCATGTGCTCCCACCCGTGCATAAGAGTCTGCATAGGCTTCTTATATCATCATAAGCAGCTTTGTGGGTGTGAAGGAAAGTTCACAAAAAAAACTTACATCTTCAACTGAACCTCCTGTAAGGTTGGTTAACTGACTAGCATTTCAATAACTGTGGAAAGTTTGGAGTGTTGCAGGTCCAGAGCCCATTTACAATTTTTTAAAAAAATTTAATAACCATATAATTAATAGAAGCATTTCATTAAAATAGCATTGACATACTCAATAACAGTTTCCAGAGCAAAGATGCATCTCTTTCAAAATTGGCTGCAATTTTTAGGTTCACAGTGTTGAATTAATATACATTATTGTGCCCAGTATAAACCCTATAAGACATAAAATTGAAAGAGGTTTTAACCTTTAAAAAAGATCACCATTTTGGCTGGAGAGATGGCTCAGTGTTAAAAGCACTGACCGCTCTTGTAGAGGACCAAGGTTTGATTCCCAGCATACTTAGATGTTTGCACATGTGTGTCTAATCTTTATATATCTGATTATTGCTAATCAACTTCGTTACTTTCTGAGATCCTTGGCACATGAGCATGGATATAAATCCATGAGGCAGATTTCAACAGTAATGTTTTTCATATCTATTAATTAACATGAAGCAAATTTTTATGCTTCTTCCTCAAATATAACTCATTTATTTTTTGTATTTCATACACAACATCCCAAACAATCTTATTCATCTTTATACCTGCATTCCAAATGGCACCCTCCCATAGCCTCCCCCACCCCGCCATACTGGAGCTCATATACTCTGTCAGCCCTGTTACTGTCCACTGTGTTGTCAGTGCCCCCAGGTATTCCCCAGTGCAAGTCCATCCACTGAGTCTAGTCAATGTATCTAGAGTCCCTTGTTTTAGGAGATCAGCTCTTCCTCCTCTAGTAGCAATCAGTTGCCAACATTCCTTTAGATAAGATTGAGGCCTACAGGGCTGGAGAGATGGCTCAGTGGTTAAGAGCACTGACTGCTCTTGCAGAGGACCCGGGTTTGAGTCCCAGCATCCACATGGTGGCTACGAACCATCCTTAACTCCAGTTCCAGGGGAATCCGAAGACTTCTTCTGACCTCTGTGGCATTGCACGGCACGGGTGCACTCACATACATGCAGGCAATACACTCATACACATAAAATAAAAATAATAAAGTTAAAAAAAAAGATTGAGGCCTGTTGTTCATTTCCCCAGTTCTACACTGGGTTACTGTCTGGGAGTCTCTTGGGCCACCCTGGCCAACAACTCAAAGGAAGGTATCTCCTGTCTGGCATTGTTTCTTGTTATGCAGCCTTTACCTATATACATGGACTCTTAAAGAAATATATTGACCTCATTAATCTTTGTTTATACTTTCCTTTTGGGTGTTTAAGACCATACAGTTGGCCCAAATAAACCGTTTATTTTTACTCTTACAGTCGTTTGAGGATCTGTTCCTCGGGGGTCACATGGGCTTTGGAGGAGCCCCTGGCTCCTTTCTTTTACCAGTTCCATCTATGTGAAGATTAAGTCAAAGGTCCTGCTCGGCTGTGGCTGGCTTCACTTGGAAGCATGGAAGAGATGTTTCCTCTGTGTTGACCCTCCTCTTTGTAGACTGGACACTGGTTCAGGTCCATCTGGTGGGGTCTCCATGGCCTCCCTGATCAAGAGGACAGGTGACTCACCACAGTTACAGGACATTTTGAGTGATGCTCCATAGTCCCCTGGAACTTAATCGACCATTGAGGGCAAGGAGCAAAAACTGTCCCTTAAGTCCCTTTGACCAGATTAGTATAGGCCTCAAACTATAGCTGTTAAACATCCAAGAAAGTTAGTTCTACCAGTCTGGTACTTTTAATTACCATGTGCTATGTAGATAAAGCTTGGGAAAAACCAAATGTTCTCAGATAAACCTTGACCAGACATATATTTTGTCCCTTGAATTAGTTGTATGTATAATTTGTCAGTAGATTGTTGGACTAATATTGTTCCCTGCAGTTTTTTAAAACTACCTGGGCATTATTTATCTCTCTGTCTAATCCTTCCACCATGGTTCTTGAGCTGTCTTTAGTCCACTAAATAACCTGCCCACCTCTGAGCTAACATCCTGTGACTAACAGACTAACCTTTGGAATGTGATAACAACACAATCTTAGCTTCTATCAACTGACAGGCTAAGAATGTCTTCAGATAGCAACTGAGGTCTATAGAAGAACTCTCTCCCCACTTTACTAAATCCACCTACCAAATGCATACACCAATGTATTGGAAAAGTGTGCTGATTTATGACTTTCTTTGTTCTGACACTATAAAAAGTTTATGAAATTGCTACCTCACTGAAACGTGGTATTAGGGGAGACTTAGATCTGTGTTCCTGGATCATGGTCATTCATATTTGACTCCTGAATAAACCATCTTTTTTATTCCTTTGTGGTGAAGTCTTTTCTTCGTCAACATGGGTGACATCTCTCTTGTGAAGGAGAACTGGGATTTAAACTTCCAATTGCTGCCCATCAAGTAACAAGCAAAGCTGTCAAAGAACAAGACCTCTTTTTAAAAAAATGTAGGTAAGTGCACCCGTGTTATGCAATGCCCATAGAGGTCAGAAAAGGCTGGAGTTACGGACAGTTGTTAGCTGCCATGTGGGTGCTGGGATTCAAACCTGGGTCTTCTGCAAGAACAATCAGTGTTCTTAACTGCTGAGCCATCTCTCCAGCCCCTGGAACAAGACCTCTTAAGCGTCATGCAGTGTTCGATGCAGCTGGCCACTAGGTCTCAATCAAGCAAGAAGCAGAATTTTGAGGTCAGAATTTAGAAACTTTGATTTTTAATCTGACATCACTCCAATAGTCTTATTGTTTAATTAATTAATTAATTAATTGTCTTTTTGAGACAGGGTCTTCCTGTAGCCCCAGTTGTCCTGGAACTCACTATGTAGACCAGGCTGGCCTTGAACTCACAAAGATCTACCTACCTCTGCCTCCCAAGTGCTGGGATTAAAGGCATGCACCACCATGCCCAGCTTATTGTTTATTTTTAAATAAAAACATTAATCTAAAAGAATTCTTTATGTAAACTGGTCTTTCCCAACAGATAATCTAAGAAATGTGAATTTAGAGGGCAATTTTGGTCCTGGCCCAGTCTGTTTTCTTCATCCCCTCCCCTGAGTTCACCTTATCCTGTCCCACTGCCATCTAGGTTGGCGTTGCCTTTGCTTCCTTGGGTCAGGTTAAGGGGTGGGGAGGTCACTGATCTCCTTCAGATGATTCTCTCTGATTGAATCAGTCTTGAGTCTCACCAGGTAGTATTACTGGGTGACTTGCCTTCTTTGATGTCATCCACTGACAATTTCTTATTGGTGTGTTGTGGCATTTACTTGTGTTTGGGAAAACGTGGGATTGTCTCTGCTCTGGGTACTTCAGTATTGAAAATGTCAATAATCCTGGAGTGCTACCATGTGTCAGTGCACATGCCAACATCAGCTCACTTGACTATCAATAATGCTATGAGGCAGGTGCTGCCAGACCCACAGAGCAATGAGGAGAGAATCTTGGGCACATTAAAATCCTACCCTGCTCGAG